ACTGTGTGTGTACTCTGACTATGTAGACTGTTTACTGGCTCCACAGACTCCGTTCACACTTTTTCGGGTGTACTGATTGTTCCGGCAGAGTTTCCTCTATATCCGGCTGTTCTATGCAGTCTGTGCTTGTTCCGCGAGTCTATCCGAGACTCTTTCTGTCTTACCTATGCTGACTAGCCCTCTGACTATCAGCTGACCTGAGTGTTACCAATTGCTAAACCCCAGGAATCCGATCCTGCTAAGGTCCAACTGACTAACACTAACACTATATTTACTTGAACTGCCGAGTCAATATGTCTCTCCCCTCTTAGGAAAGGCTATACAACTCTCAACTGATATGAAACTAGACTTTCTAGCCTCACTATCAATTGCTTATGCAGTTACTGATCTCTTGCTTTAAGCACACTTGCTTTGAACTGGTGAATTCTTGACTGATTGAATTCTCTGGGGGGCACTTTCAGTCCGGTATATATACCTTTCTGAAGACCTTCCAGAATGTTCTATCTAGCTTACAAAAGTCTATTCTAGTGTCTTACTAAGCGCTTACTAATTGCTGACTAATCGCTTACTAATCCCTACTAATATTCTTCCGGAACCTTCTCCAACATGCCTGAGATACTCCAGGACCTAGTAGAATAATCTGGTACGTGCTGGAATATTCTGTGATATTCTAGCTCATTCTATTATGTTATCCATGGACTATTGGTCTTATGTTGAGTCATGCCTAGTAGATTGATAAGCAGGCAAGTCCCTATGAGCTTTATATGAGACCATTTTCTTGCATAAAAGTCTGGAATGTTCTGGAACTTTCTGTAATGTTCTGGAATATTCTCCACCTTGTTCCCCAGTTCTGAAAGATGCTTAGTCAACTGTTACCCTTTATGGTTATATGCCAGGACATTCTAGAACGTTCTATGATCATAGCCTGCACATGTTTCTCCCAAACACTTAATCAATCCAAGCTCAGATACGCAAGTTGTCACTCTAGCCTGCAGTTTCACGTCCATTGATGCAACTACCAAACAAGTCCTGTCTGATCCTTTGTAACTATACAGGACTATACGTGGCCTGAACCTCGTCATTGATCTCCCAATCATTGGTGATAGGGTCGAGGGAGACACCTAACAACTTATGAGTTTTCTGTACTCGAATGACAAACAGTGCGGCTCGCCTGGAAGATAGTCTTCGTTATCTGGTTTCCGCAGGATCTTGACTCTGCTGACCACATTCCAAACCACTTGCGCCCACCAGGAACTCGTGTCACCGACAAAGTACTCGTATGGTACAGCGAGGCTAAGGATCGCCGGCGACTGAATGTGTTGTACGAGCACGATGACACGGCTCTCCTGATACTCGGCTACTCGAAGGACTCGACCAAGAAAGTGTACATCCTTAGGCAATGTCCAACCCGGCTCTAACTTGCTCGGAAGGATAAGCCAATATGGGGTATCGGGAGGCGGAATTGGACCAAATGGGTGCGTTTCCGGCACACAAATCCGCGGAGTGTGGAAGTGAAGATGGTGAGAGTCCTTGCGTACAATTACCGGGCAGCGGATGATGTTGTCCAAGTTGAGGTGGTCCGAGAGGTATGGGATCATCTCGTCGGGGATTGTGAGGGTCTGTCGGGGGACGGTAGACATGATGGGAGGTGCCACATCACAAAACATGGACCCACCGTTTTACGCCTTTTTGATGTTTGACGCCTGTGGTTACGTGATAGGTTCTGATTGTTACTAATCACATGATTATGTAGCTTGTTGTAAGCCATGTCCAGGTGCCAATCCATTTTGGTGCCTGACAACGTCCACGGCCTACCATCCACAAACAGATGGACAGACTGAGCGAGTGAACCAGTCTCTTGAGCAGTACCTCCGGATCTTTACTGAACATCGGCCAGACGACTGGGCGTCCCTTCTATCCACCGCGGAGTTTGCGTACAACAATGCGCCACACGAGTCGACTGGCCTGTCACCAATCTTCATCGAATACGGGTACAATCCAAAGATGGCTCCCGACGTTCGTGAAGAACTCGCCTTCCCAACCCTCGAAGACGTATTTCACAACCGTGCGGAAGCAAGAGAACAAGCTCAGGCATCACTTACCATGGCCGCAGAACGAATGAAATGGTACTACGGTCAGGGCCGTGTGGACCCTCTCTTCAAGGTTGGCGACAAAGTTTTGCTCAAAGGACGCGACCTTAAGATCCGCAACTCGTCAGCCAAGCTCTCAGCCAAGAACTATGGGCCCTACAAGATAACGGAAAAGATTGGACCCGTCGACTTTAGAGTCAAACTTCCACCACAGAACAAGGTCCATCCCATCTTCCATGCTTCAAAGCTCATCCCCTACCACGAAGACGAGATCGGCAACTGCAATCCGGAGAAGCCTGACCCAATTGAAGTCAAAGGCCACAACGAGTTTGAGGTCGAAAAGATCCTGGACTCACACGTCAACCGTGGATACGTGCAATACTTCGTCAAATGGGCTGGCTACGATGTCTCTGAAGCAACTTGGGAGCCTATACGCAATGTCAAATATGTGAAGGAACTACTCAACGAGTTCCATGCTCTCCATCCAAACGCACCACAACCAATTGCTCTCAACAACTCACGACCAGTCGCCCGGGAGTTTCAACGCAATATCTGGTTTGAACACTTCGCAGGAGCTCAGATCTTGAAGAGGGGGTAGTGTCACAGTTTTCTCGTGCCACGTGACCTGGGGGTCATGTGTACTGGGACAGACGCTCACCTTGACCGCGGACAACTCGTATCGGAAAGTGGAGGGGCCAGGATCGAACCCCAGACCTCGTGACGGCCAGGAGCGCCCATCCTCACTCACAGACAGGTGACTGATGTGACACCAGGAGCGCTTACTCATTGGAAGGGGTCCGGACTCGGCACGACTCAGGTATTAGTCGTAAGGTCACCATGAGGCAGGTCAGAGGGTAGGACATGAGGCAGAGAACTCTGACCAAACGATGGTCAATAGGTACTTGGTCTGTGCACCGTTGTATAAGTATAAATAGTAGGGGGTCTGAGGCAGAGAACCTCAGACTTGATCTTCTCGTCGATTCCCCATCTCTTCTGTAGGTAGCTAGCAGCCCTACCTCCCTCACTGTCCCTTCTAGTCTAGGGAATACATCTCTTCACATCTCTTGCTGTCCCACCTCTGGTTGCTTCGCTTCTCAGCACCAACCTCTGCATCAGTAAGCTTTGCTCTTATTTGTTTTGGTGGCACAGCTCGTTAGCTGTGACAGACAGTCAGTTGTAACAGGGCGCCTGTCCAGCGTCTGTGACAGGCATCATAGAAAGAGGCATCCTCAGCGATGATAGCATGCTCTTGCGGGGCGCTCTATATAGGTCGACATGTCAACCATCCCTCTCCTTCAGGCATCAGCAAATGTGCTGAACCGTGGCAGTGGCAATGCAATGCGTGCCCGGAATGGTAACACCAAAATTGACAAGCAGGGAATTGGAACGCATAAGCTCGCCATTGCAAACCTTGGCGGGGCGAGTCGATAATAAGGCCGTCGGGGATTTTGATGGCAATGACATTGCCTGCAAGAAACTCGCCATATATAACTTATAGATTGACCATTGATTGACATACTTACAGAATGGGAATGACATGTGCACGGGTGAGACTGTATGCCTCTGTCGCTCAAATTGCCGCCCATCCACGGCGCTGATCGCTCCTTCGCCCGCAGCACACCTCACCCATCACCGCTACCAAGTACTGTCTCTCGTCGTCGATCGCTCTCCCCGAGCGGGCTTCAACCGGTTTCAAAGCTCTATCCTGCCAGATCTATCCCTTGCTTCTCACACATCAGTTTTGCGTGCTCAGCATGAGCAAAGTCTCCTGCGGTCCCCCAAGTCCATGGCAACTTGTCCAGTGCATGGTGTCTGACGCTACTGCGTTGCCCTTCAAGTCATCGATTCTTGATGCCTCCATCGAAAGCGATTTTGAAGTCCCTTGCCTCCGAAGATGGGCTGGAGGGTGAGGAGAAGAGGGTTGAGTTAGGGTCAAGGCAGCGGATCGTGGCCAGCTTCAATACTCCGGCACATGTGACGTCATCGTTCGTGACCTGTCGTGCTCGTCGGTTTTTCCTCATAAGCGCAAGCAAGCATGCAAATCACTCATTGCTCCTTTCTTTTCCTCTCCTACCATCAAGCTTATCACCTACTCGAAGAAATCCCGCTATTGCGGACCTGACTGGTTCGCTTGCTATAGCGGTAAGTAGACTAACCCTCGCACTCCATTCGGTTGGTCTCATGTGCACGGCCAACGTCATACTTACGATGCTCGTGTATACCCTCACACTGAGGTTACCATACTTGGCGGTGTCTGCTCTTGGACGGTTGGTCGTGCTGCCTACTCTCTATCAGCTATGGTTCGTGCTGAGGCTGCTCAAGCCTTTCACGGTGCATATCCTGCGAGGACGATGGGCGCCGCTGCCGCCCACGCGCCACTGGTCGCTTGTCACTCGTGTCTTATACTTGGCCTTGACTACTGTCGCTATCTGGGAATCTGCGGAGAGCGCGTTTGACTCCATCGTAGCAGAGGTTTGTACTGTTACATCAAGAACTCCGAGTCGCGCTAACGGTCAGGTAAGTCCATCTGTGTTTCAGCGCATACAGCAAACCCCGGCCTCACATTGGTGTCAGGCATCACATCCACGGATCTATACCTCAAGCACTTCGCATTTGTCAAGCTGTTGTCACAGCCAACGAGCTGTGCCACCAGATAAACAAAGACAAAGCTTACTGGTGAAGGGGTTGGTGCTGAGAGCGAAGCAACCACAAGTGACACAGCAAGAGATGATGCAAAGGCGTAGATTCCCTAGACTAGAAGGGGCAGTGAGAGGTAGGGCTGCTAGCTACCTACAGAAGAGATGGGTGATCGACGAGAAGATCAAGTCTGAGGTTCCCTGCCTCAGACCCCCTACTATTTATACAATTACAACGGTGCACAGACCAGGTACCTATTTGTCCCTGCTTGGTCAGAGTCTGCTGACTCGTGTCCTGTCTCCTGACCTGTCACATGGTGTCCTCATGACTAACACCTGAGTCATGCCAAGTCCGGACTCCTGCTCATGAGTAAGCGCCC